CTTCGTAATCCAATTCAATTGTAACTCCCAATAAATATAACTACTTACATTTATTTATTTACCTTTTACTGCATCAAAATTATTGATTGTAGGAGTTGTATTTATTACTGTGGGAATATTTGAGGACAGCAGCTGCCTTTCTAGGACACTGCTAATAATTTTAAATCATTAATGAATTAGTAGTATTAATTAATAATTACTGATTTCGCTCAGCATGACGTCACACTCACGTATGCTTTTCATTGCTTATTCATGTATCCTATTCATTGTGTCGCCCCATAATAATAGTCTCATTTTTATATATAACTATATTATTATAAAGTTACTCTTACTTTTTTATTATTATTACACAATTATCACTACTTTTTTACATTAGTGCACTCACAAAGGCAAAAAAATATTTTACTCGTACTTTTTATAATACCAATATAATATCAATATTTTTTAAATCTCGTGCCAAACATAACTCATACTATAATTTTGGGACGGAGGGAGTATAAGTTATTACTCTCTCCGTCTCACTTAATATGTCAATTATTTTTATTTTTGTTCCAAATAATTTGTCACTTTCTTTTCGAAAATATAATTATACACTTTAATTACATTTTAGAATTTAGAATTTAGAATTTATTTTTAATTTTAATTAAACTATTTAGTTATCTTAATCTTAATATATAATTATTTTTATTAAATAATAATTACTTTTACTAATACACTTCTTAATTACTTACTAATTTAATAATACCTAAAATTATATGTCAAGCTAAATAGGAGGAGGGAGTATAATTCTTTATTGGAATATAAAATAAAATAAATCTGAAATAAATGTTAAATAATTAAGTAATTGAGCTATTAAGTTATTGTTTAAAGTTATTTAATTGCATGGGATTGTATGTTAATATCTTAATTTTCTTTTATTTGAATAACAAAATTAACATGCATAAATTGATTATTTTCCAATGAAATGCACAAAAAATATTTATAATAATATTATCTATTCATATATAAACAGAGGCAGATCTAAAAATAATTTTTTATACTAGCGTCACTATATATATTTAAAAATAAAATAAATTAAAAAACTCAATTTTATTAAGAAATATATGAACAAGTTGTCTTTCTTCTTCGAATATTATCTATGCTCTTTCTTATTTTGAAATTTTACTAATTCATTACAGCTTCATTTGTAATATTATAATAAAATTTTAAATGAAATAATACAATTCTTTTAATGATATAGTAATTATTAAATTATAAAAATAAATTAAAATTACTGATGACACGTATCCCATTAAAAAAAGTTAATACGCCCCTGCATTTTATATATATATATATAGAAGTTAATTCCGCATATAATTTGGATTTTGATAAATAATTCTATCAATCAACATCCTTTCAATAAATACTATTATTATTATTATTATTATTATTATTATTAAACAATTCCTTAGATTATTTGGCAATGCTGCTTAACCTATAATGATATGTAAGTGTGAATTTCTTCCTCAAATTTGGCGTCTCAATACAAAAACTTTAAATTGGTATATATATATATATATATATTTATATTTTAAAAGAAATGATTATTAATGAATAAGAAAAAGTTCAATAGATGTAAGACACTGATTGGACAGCCGGCTGTTTTAAATGAATATTTGGAATTGAATATATATATATGCACTAGAAATTTATACTTATTTGACCCTATACATATTTTAAAAAGAAATTATATAAAAATATATATTTTTTCTTTTATAAATAAATAAAAGTAAAAAAATAATATTTTTTATTTAAAAAAATAAATGACAGAAAAATATACAATATACATATGAAAGATTTTGCTAATTATTAGTATTTTCAAAAATTAGATATTTATTTTAAGCATTTTTGTTTCTGTGTGATTTTAAATTGAAATTAATATTAACAGATTTTTTTAAATAAAAAACAATATTTTTTAATTATAAATATTAAATCAAAATACTCCCTCAGTCCCACGTAATTTATTCCTATATTCTATTTTTGTTGGTTTCACATAACTTGTCATTTTTTCTTTTAGAAATATAATTATTCACTTTAATTACATTTTAAACTTTATATTTTATAATTTTTTTAATCTAAAATTAAAGTATTTAGTTATCTTAATTTTAGTTTATAGTTATTTTTCCTATACAATAATTATTTTTACTAATATATTTCTTAATTAATTACTAATTATATTTTATCTAAATTCTCGTGTCTACGGTAACACGCCCAAATTACCTAGGACGGAGGAAGTATTATTTAAGTAAAAATTAAAATCAACCTTTTATTTTAAATTAATTTCAAATCACAGTCAAACAAACCCTTAGAATATAATAAAACAGTTTCCAAATGTCATAATTAATACTTATCTATGTCCGCCTTTAATGTTACATTTACTTTTTGCGTGATTAAATTTTATATTAATTTTTTTTATATTTATATAATTTTTTATACAAATTTTATTATATTAGTATTATAAAAAGAAGTATGTTTTTTGTTGTCTTAGTTTTGATATAATAATTAATATTAAAAAATTAACGGACGGACAGTTGAATTTATAATCAATATGTATATATGTGGGAATTACGCCTAAATTAAATAAAGCTTCAGAGGTTTACTATTATGGTAAAAATAATTACAACCCATCCACTAACAAATTTGATTTCACCTAAATAAATAAACAGTTATTAAATTACAAAACCAACTATTTGATTAAAATTAGTAATAAATACCTAAATGATTAATTAACTACTTATATGATTTTTATGCGCGTGCAAATGTGACTATACGAAATTTCTGGAGATATGCCAAAATATTATTTAATTTAATTATTTTGATCAATTAAAATATTTATTCAATAACTAATTATTAAATTATATATGGTCTCAACTAAACATGTACCTACTAAATATACACTTATGCATGAATTTGCTCAACTGCACAAATTTATTTATGCCAAAAAAGAAAGTCAATTACACACCAAATCAATTGCAAATAAATACAAAATTTGTTGACTTGAAATAATGATTGAGAAATTAAAAAAGTATTTTGGTCAATGAACAGTTATATCAAACTCTTTAAAATTATAAGTATGGTTTTGCATTATTTTAATATTTTTGAATAGATTATTTATAAATGTTGAAATACTTAAATACTCTAGCTAGGTTATAAGAGCTTATTAATAACAATATTTTCATAATTTTATTTTTTCATTTTTTAAATGAATATTTTGACATTTTTATATGAAATGATAAGATATTTTGTTAATATTGTGGAGTTTTAGTTTATCAAATAAACTACATATTTATTGGAAAAAAAACAGAGTTATTATTATTCAATGGAAAAATATAAAATATAATATAATTTTATATTTAATGTAATTTCAAGCAATTTTGTCAAAAGTATTGCATGTTTGTTCGGTGTGTTAGATAATGTAAATGACTGTTTTTTACTTAAAAGTTCAAACTATTAGAATATGCATTATTTATTTACAAACCAGAGTTCACCAACATAATATTTTTTGTTTAATTTTTTTGTTTGTTGTGACAAAAAAAAATGTAAAAATGTTACAGAAAATAATGTTGTATATGTTTATTGACTTTTATTACTATATATATCGTATATTATAAAGTAGTATTATATTTTTTGAATAATATATTTGGAAAATTATATATCTTTAAAGCACTAAAGTTTCGTTTAGCTGGAAAATTTTAAAATAGGAAAAATTTAGAATTTGATTTTATATTTTGTTAAAGGATAAAAATGTATTTATTGTGATATTTTTGAAAAAATTACTGTAGTGTTAAAATTTTCAAAATTATTTGTATAAGCTGAACCTAAGTAAGCTTATTGATTGTGTTTGAGTATTTTATTATTATTGGTTTTTATATATAGCAAATAAAAATTAAATACTACAACATTTAAAAAAAGTATGCATAATATACATATGTAATAGGTTTTCTAAAAAAGAAAATGTAAAAAGAGGTAGAGAGCCAAATGAAGGCAAGCACAGAAAAGATAAAAGGAAGTGTCGCGGTCGCGGCCCGACAAAGATCCTGCGGCTGAAACAGACTCATGTCTGATTGTAATTGGCGACAAATTTGAGGGTAATAAAGGAATTTCCTACATACGAAATATTTTTAATTTTTATTGAAAATCTAATACTAAAAATACCAACATGAAAATTCAAGCTAAACATTATTATTATTATTATTATTATTCTCTTTGTCTTAATATTTGCTTTTTATACTGAAATTTAAACGGATAGTATTAAATAAGATAATTTGATAATTAAGTGATATAATAAAAAATAAAAACATATATATTTATTTGAGTGACGTGAGTATCAAAGTGTAGGGTAGAAATTAAAATTTTAAAAATATTGCAATATATTTGAAATATATCGAAGTATCGCAAAGTATTTGTGACGGAAATGAATAATTTTTAAAAAATATCTTCTCTACATTTAAACTTGAATTTAAATACTCCTATCTAAATAGTTTTATTTTACATTTACCACTGTTATACTTAAATAATTTATTTTAATATAATACTCCATAAAGAATACACTGATTCGTTTAAGTTAATTTGTCCATTTTAATTAGAGAATATAATTTTATAAAAAATTCTTTACATTGAAATACCAATACTTAAATAGTAAAAATATTTAAAATTAATACAAAAAGATCAAAACCCTTACCACGGCAGCGTATCCTAAGATTTTGTTGTGACCATTTGACGAATATGGTGGGCCCAATTTATTTTATTTTTTTAAAAAAGGAAATAAATATGGTCTTTCCTCCAAATAAAATTATACTAAAAAAATTAAATAAAAAACAAAACCCTACAATAGTGGCATCCCAGTAATTAAATGAAACTCCAGGCCCTTTTTCAAACAAAGCCCCCTCATTGGTTAATCATCACGGCGCATTTTAGCACACCCAGCGCTGTAAACCCCATAAAAGCAAAAGGAAAGAAAGCTCAACAATTCTATCATATTTTCCTTACACACTCAAAAGAGACAGACACAGAGAAAGAAAGAAAGAAGAAGACAACAACAAACAATTGGCGCCTTCAATTTCTTTCTCTGCTCTCCAATTTTCACACACACAAACATATTTATATACCTATTCATCTTTAATCATTCGATTCCATGGAAATGAGAGAGAGAGCTAACAAGGCTTGTGGAATAGTGTAGAAATTTCTTTCCCTTCCACAATATTGTTCCGAGGTCGAAGAAATTAAAAACGACGAGGATCTATTTCAATTTCCTTGTCTCGATTTCAATTAATTATTTCTCAGCTAGCGAAAGAATAATGGATTGCAGCAGCAGAAGCGCCATAGCCGCCGGAAATTTGGATCCGCAGAGGAAAAGGAGCGGCGGTTTGAGAACTAAACAGGCAGGCCGTGGTTCTTGCAGAGGAAGTTAGATAAACCTGTCCGAATATATATATATATATAGAATTATAGATACAGGAATTGAATCGAATGGGGTATTTGTTGAAAGAGGCTTTGAAGACTCTGTGTGGAGTTAATCAGTGGGCTTATGCTGTTTTCTGGAAGATTGGCTGCCAAAATCCTAAGTGAGTTTTTAATTTAATTTAAATTTCCATATATATATATATATATATTTTCTTAGCTTGTTCAAGATCCATGAACTTCTTTGGCTTTCAATTCTTACATATGCTTTGCTTTTGTTTAGTATTGGTGAATATTCTTACAGTGGGATTTTGTCTTGTTTGAGAATTTTCTGGTTTTGATTTTTTTTTTTTTCAAAAGAAAAAACTGAGTGCTTCCAAAACATTTCCCATCTTTTTTGGCATTTTTTTTTTTTTTTTTGTGGCTTGGATGGTTCAATTACTTAATGTTTGTATTTTGACTGCTGTTTGGAAATAGAAAATAAATAAAAAAGGATCCAATCCAAATATTAGGAGGATATGGATATGGCTGTCATTATTTGTTTATTTTTTATATTTGGATTTGTGATTTGATAAATGTTGTCAATGAGTTTTTGGATTTTTCGGTTTGTGTCCATTCATCTTGTCTTGGAGAATCTCAGTGCGAAGGATATCTTGTTCAAAAGTTATTACTATTATTATTATTATTTTGTTTTTTTTTTAAAAAATATGTTTTCTTATATTGCCACTGTTTTGATTTCCTGTGCTAATATTGTCTTCATCTGCATACCCCTTCTTGTCCGCATCAGTTTCCTGTCTATTTTTATCGTTTGTTTCTGTTCTTTCTGCTACTACTAAATTTCTTACAAGAAAATGAATAATAATAATAAATAATAATAATAATAATAATGTAATAATGATTTGATTTCGATATTCGATTGGATGCAGGCTTTTGATCTGGGAAGAATGTTACTACGAAACTGCGTCGTGCTCTGGCCTTAATCCCATAAACACTTTGCAATGCTCGTCGAGTGGTCGATCTCAGGACAAGGTTCATTTGCTAGTCGACAAGATGATGGTAGACAATCATTTTAACGTTGTCGGCGAAGGGTAAAGCCTTCGACTTTTGATGCATTCCGTTTCGATGTCTCTGTATTCGCAGAACATACTTAACCGTCACTCGTGTTTGTCTGAATTTCTTCAACCTCAGATTAGTCGGGCGAGCTGCATTTACCGGAAATCATCACTGGATCTTATCGGGAAATTATTTCCGCGAACAACATCCTCCCGAGGTACAATGTTGTCAGCTGCTCGAATAGCATCGAGAAAGAGTCGACTGATCTTTTGTTCTTGTTCTTGCAGGTCCTAAAAGACGTATGTCAGCAATTCGCCGCCGGGATGCAGGTATATGGAACGACATATTTATGTTGTTGTCTTAATTATTACGCGACTTCGTTGTCTGATCTAATGCTCTTGTCCTTGTTCAGACAATCTTAGTCGTTCCCGCGCTTCCTCACGGTGTTGTTCAATTTGGATCGTTTTCGACAGTATGTCGTCTTTCATTACATTTATTTCGCGGTTTCTGCAAAGCTATTAGCAAAACTAATGTATCGTTATTCCTCGTTGTCGTAGATAGCAGAGAATCCGGGATTTGTGAACGACGTTAGGTCGTTGGTAGTCGAGCTCGGTTACGTATCCGGAGCGTTGTTATCCGAAAACTTCACTTCGAACGAACATAATACGAGAGTCGGGATTCCAATATCTCTCGTGAATTCTACGCATCCGGGAAGCTCGTCGATAAAGTCTAATACGAACGATGATATTCCTTTCTATTCCGATGGGTTCGACTATGTTGACCAGACTTCTATGACGATCGATGATCGGATTTCATTGCCCCTGAACCAGTCGAGGAGCGACACGGCGAAACCCAAAGTTATCCCTTCGAGTTCGGAAATGTGGATAATTCCAAATAGTTACGCACCCCCTGCGTCGACTATCGATGGACATTCTAGAAGCTCGTCACAGACCGAACAAAAGATCTTTCCGGAAGCTGGTGCCCTCAGCCACTTCAACCCGGCATCCCGCGAGCTTAAAGACGTGACCTTCATTAAAAATAGCGATCCGTTTACGCTAGTCGAGTCGAACATTTGTGGGGAAGAGATTGATCGAATCGCCATTGCTGCTTGTGATCTCTCTCACCGTCTCTACGACAATAGAAAATCCGGCGTCGAGCTTAAAAGAAAGCTCGGGGGTGAGGATGATGAAGTCTACGTCCAACCCGAATCGAGGGATGATTTGTTCGACGTCTTGGGTGTCGATTTCAAGAACAAGCTATTCAGTCGTAGCGGGAATAACTATTCGAGCGATGGGTCTCCCCCATCCGCGCTGCATTATTCGGATCGGATTACTTCGCCTTCGAAGAGTCAGCTTTCGTCAGAGATTTACTCAGACAGCGGGATCTTCTCCTCGTCTGGAGTTGATGATCTCTTGGAGGCCGTGGTGACTAAAATCCCCCCGATCATTGACGATATTGCTTCTTGCCGGACCGCTATGACAAGTAACGTCTCGTTTCATTACAACCAATTCGGTGTTTCCGATCCTATGAAGCAAGAGTTATTCGATATTCCAAAGCGCGTAGGAAAGATGGGAGAAACGAGTTCTTGCTCGTTGATAACAAAGGCTTTGAAGGATGAGTCGAGTAGCTCGATTTACGGTTCGCAAATAAGTTCGTGGATTCAAAAGAATGAAAAAATGAAGCCCGAGAATACTATGTCGACGGGTCATTCTAAGAAACCGGAGACGGGAAAAACGATGACTCGACGGAGGCTTAAACCGGGAGAAAACCCGCGACCTCGACCGAAAGACCGGCAAATGATTCAAGACCGTGTAAAGGAGCTAAGGGAGATTGTCCCGAACGGGGCAAAGGTAATAACTTCGCGCCTTCTATATCGAGTATTGCTCGTTTTGTCTTTAACGCTAAGTTTATGTTGTTTGTCTTGGTTCGATTAACAGTGTAGTATCGATTCGTTGTTGGAACGGACGATCAAACATATGCTTTTCTTGCAAAGTGTTGCGAAGCACGCCGACAAGCTAAAGCAAACCGGCGAGTCGAAGGTGTGGAACTACCCGATTTCGAGCATTGCATTGTCGTAATAGTTAATAAACTCGAACTATTATTATATTCTCGATATGTTCACGTTTCAGATCATTTGTAAGGATGGAGGTTTGCTTATGAAAGACAACTTTGAAGGCGGAGCAACTTGGGCGTACGAAGTTGGCTCGCAATCCATGGTTTGTCCGATCATAGTCGAGGATCTAAACGAGTCGCGTCAAATGCTTATTGAGGTAATTCACGCATTCGATTCATCGAGGAATTCGAGTTCTCGGTATATTTCTAACATCTTTGTTTTCTCGATACGTTTTATTACAGATGCTTTGTGAAGAGCGAGGTTTGTTTCTAGAAATAGCTGACATTATTCGCGGGCTCGGGCTAACCATTTTGAAGGGAGTTATGGAGTCTCGAAACGGAAAGATTTGGGCGCGCTTTGCAGTCGAGGTAAAAACAAGAAATAGACCAAATGAGCATAAGGCTCTGTTTACGCAGATACTTTTGGAACTTTCAACAGTATTTTTTAATTTTTATTATTTTTTAAAATTTTACGGTACTCATTACATTTCTTGTAGGCGAATCGCGACGTGACAAGAATGGAAATATTTATATCGCTGGTTCGACTATTGGAACAAAGCTCGAAACAAGAAAACACATATCACCAAGCCTCGACTTCTGTTCCTCTTCCCGGCAGATCGCAATGATCATTCTTGGTTTGGACATGTTGAGAGCGAGCAAAACGCGAGCCTCGCCGTGACGAGCATGTCTACCGGAAACTTATCGAGCTATTCGACGACTTCACCTAGGATTCGAAAAGTCATAGCACTTGTGTTAGAAGTGGTTCAAGATTGAGGTATGTAGTTGTCTTGAGGGATGGCTTTAGGTTCTTCGACTGGAGTTCGATTTTTTACGAGAAGAGGTAGTAGATATGGGAGGATGTTTGTCGGGAGAATTGTGATAATGAATGTATAGTCACGTGATGAAGAGGGGGATATGCAAGAATTTAGAGATTGTGTTTTTTCATGTATTCGAACTTTCTGGAAAGTAAAATGTTAATTATTGGGACTTAATTTATTTTGGCAATAAAAATTAGGCTATTTTCAAAGTATCGAACTATTTATCAATAATATTTCTTATGTCTTTTAATAAACTATTTTTTTATTTTTTTAAGTAATTGTAATATCTATTTAATAATTAAAATAACTTTATAATTTACAATATATTACCTTTATATCATAAGAATACAAATAAAATTATTTGTCATTTTACCATTATTATGTAATATTAATATACATAAAATTTAGTGTAAAAAATATTTAGATATTTCTTTAAGGACATAAGGAGTATATATATCAAATATTTATTTTTAAAAAATAAATAAAAATTTGAACCTTTATTTTTTATCCTTCTTTCTTACAATATACATATAAATTACCAACTTTAAAATTTACAAGTAAACATTAATTAATATACCACATAGGAGTATTAATTTTGATATATTTAAATGTGTATTTTGGTAGTGTTTTAGTTTAAAATATTTTCTATATAAAGTATGACAAAATTATATCAGGAATATAATAAATCATATATTTTTATTAAATTATTAATTTTTGTAATAAAATAAAGTATACATATTATATATCGAGAATATAGTCGTATGGGTAAGAAAATTATTTAGGTGAACAAACTAGGGTGTGTAGGGAGTGTTTGGTCGGAGGTGTGAATTTTGAATTGAGATTTGAATGGTAAAAATTTTGATTTTGAATAATTATATGATGTGATGTTTTAAATATAAAATTAATTTTTAGTAAAATTTTAAAAATAAAAAATAAGTATGTAATTTAATATTTTTTAAAGAAAAATTAGAGGTCAATAAATTATGTAAATAGAGCCTATCAGCAGATAGCTTTGCAGAAACAAACATATTATTACAACGTATTAGAAACTCTAAATAAAAATAAAAATTATCGTAAAAATATCACTCCCTACACAAACAAAGCACAGACATAATTAATTAATAATTACACTAATTGGTCAAACGTCGACGTGGCAGTCCAAAATCAGGTGATTCTGAAACGTCGCCGTTCCGACGGCTACGCCACTGCCGTTCTTCCTCGCCGGAAAATTCAGATACACCGGGCAGTTCACGGTCAGGCGGTACTTCCACGACACCACCGTCCCCACCTTCCACCGGATTCCGCCGCCCACTCGGACGGTCACCAGCACCGTGCCGGCGATCTGGTCCTGTCTGAGAGAAACTCCGACGTACGGCGCCACCGGGATTTGGGGTCCGTACAAGAACGGCGACCAGACGATGGTCTCCTTTCCGGCCTGGTAGGTCGCCGGCAGCCGCGTCGGAAGTGTGATCTGTTGGCCGCGGTAGGCGGCGCCGGCGACGAGGCGGTCGTAGTTGACGGCAATCCGACCGTTGGGGTTTCTGGAGGCGACGGTGACTTGAAAATTGGCGGTGACGGAGTCGCCGGCGGTGAGATTGAGATCGAAAACGACGACGTTTTGGAGGACGAAATGTGGTTTGGAGGGGCGGAGGACGAGCCAGGCGACGGCGACGGTGACGCCGGCGAGGATGAGGAAAGTTAGGAGGGCGGCGAGGAGGCGGAATTTTTGATCGGAATATTCTCCGGCCGCCATGGACGGCGGCGAGTAAGGTTTTGGAGGGTAAGAAGTGAAGGGTTAGAATAAAGTGGTGGGTGAGTTGCTTTTGGAGTTTTGTACTTTTAAAATGGGTTGATCTAAGCCGTTGAATGTTTTTTGACTTTAACTGAATCGACGGTGGTGGTTGATCAGGGATTGTGGGCCTGCAAACTTATTGAGTACAGCTTTGGAGTTTGGGAAGTGTAAAAAGTAGTGTCCATTTTATTTTATTTTTTGATTTGTTATTGTGATAGGGATGAATATTATAAGTAATTTAAATTGCACTTTCAGTAAATGAATATTAACTAGTGTAATTAATTAATTGCAAGTGAAATTTGTTAGCATAACGGGGGCAATAATTGTGAGCAAAAAATATGAATAAAATTCTGGTGTACTAATTGAAAAAATCAATTATCATTCTTATCAATTGTTCGCTTGTGTCTTGTGTTTAAATTAAAAACACTATCAAAATTTTAAAAAATATATGTACAAAAATATATTTGAAAAGCTTCACAGATGTGTTTGTTGGGAGATTTTAAAATTTTTATACTCTTCAATTTTTATTTTTTTTATATTATATTAAATATTAATTTTATTTTTAAAATATATTTATACTCCATCCGCCTATCTAAAAAATATACATATTTATATTTTGGAACGTCCGACTACAAAATAATTATTTTATTAAATTCCACACTTTTTCTTTACAAAATAAGAGTACACTACTTTTACCTGTACACAAAATCAAGAACAAAAAAATAATGGATTATTGAATGAATAATGTAATTGTATGTTACAGAAAGTGTAGGATAACAAGAGATTAAATATCAATACAACAAATATAATACTTTTCAAAATTAAATTTATAATTTATCCTTCTAGCCGAATTATAGCTATATATGCAAATTCCAAAACTTACACAAACAAAATCTATTTAAATCTATTATATTATAATAAAAAAAGTTGTAAACTACCAATTTCAACATAACATCAACAAATAACAATTTAAATGATTTAAAATCCAAATATAGCATAAAAGATGGAAACCTAATACACAACTCCACCCCCTCCCCTTAACTTAATTTTGCACTTGTCAAACATTTATAAATATAAGATGTGAGACATTCCTCGCCTGAGGGTTGGATTATTACTAAATTATTGAATGAATAATGTAAGTATGCTATAAAAGTGCAGGATAATAAGGGATTGAATCTCAATACAACAAAAAGAATAATTTTCGAATTAAATTTATACTTTATCCTTATAGCCGAATTATTGCTACATTATGCAAACTTTACAACTTATTGAAACAAGCCCTAATTCAATTTATTTATATTACACTTAAATTTAATTTCAATGTTAAAATATCACATAACACATATTTGTAACATACCAAACAAATAATTCAATTCAAAATTATCTATCAAAATCAAAATCAAAACAAAAATCGTCAATAACAAAAAAAAAAGAAAAAACCCAAAAAAACATTAACATACTTAGAATCAAAAGGTTTTGATAGATAACCCTAACTAAATTGATCCAAAAAAAAAGAAAACCCTAAAAACCCCAAAAACCAATAAAATCAGAAAGAAGCACACACTTATTCTTGTTTGCCACCATCGCATCTCTTCTTGAAGCACACTTCTCGATCCGACACCCGTCGCCGAATGAAGACAACTTCCCCGTCCGAGGATTCTCCGAGAACTCGATCCAAAGATCATTGCAATCGATCATTACAAACGATGTTAGTTCTACATATGACGATCTTCGACTATACCGTCTCTCCTTAGCATCAACCTCGATCGAAAGATCAAATGCCACCTCACGGTTTAGTGCATTGTCATCATCAACCGTGAAATTCGCCGCCACGTAGAGTGCATTCTGACCGTTCAATACATAGATGGACGATGGGGACACCACGTTTGTGGTGGAGATGAATCCGTCCCTAAAGTAGAGCTTGGCGTGGCCGTCGTAGGAGATGTTGAAATCACCGTAGGTTATGGAGATGTTCGATTCCCAAATTGGGTTCGAATTAGGGTTAGGGTTTTGCGACGAAACGGTAACGTTGAAGGATGAAACGACGGCGTTTACAGGAATTGGTACGGGGATGCTGTATAAGTAGCGTATAAATGTCGTGAGGCAGGTTAGGGCAATCAGAAGGCCGCCTACGTATAATGCAAATTCGCACTTGCCTGTGGGACGGTTCAGCACTGAGCTGGCGGTGCTTTCCGGAAGCATCGGGGCCTCGATGTCATCGTTTTTCATCGTCGGAAAGGCGAGGACGAGGGAGAAGAAGATTGTTGTTAAGTTTGGAGGAAAAAATTGGGTTTTTATTAGTGATTTTGGAATTAGGGTTTGTTTAATTGGGATTATAGCTAGAAAGATATTATTGTTGTAGTTTTTAGGATTTCTAGGGGTATTATTGTTTTGGATATTGAAACTATATGTTATAGATATAACTTGATTATAATTTGAATCTATCTGAATTTTTTTGAGAAAATTAAATTGGCTCTTTCTATTTATATTGCCTTTTTTAAAAATAAAAAATAAACAAATTGAGAAAATTAAATTGGCTCTTTTTATTTATATTGTGTTTTCTTTAAAAAAATAAAAACATTCTTTTGTTATGCTCTTTTAAAGGATAATCTTGGACTGTGTAGTTGTCTAGATTTTGTGTAATATATATATATATGTACATACATGTATATTACAAATTATTATTATTATTATTTTCTCCATATCACCTAGCATTAGTCCTGGAAATTTAGAATATGTATAATTAGTATATAATTAATAATGTATTAGCGAAAGTAATTCTTCTATAATATAAATAATTATGAATTAAAATAACTAAATAATCTAATTAAAATTAAAATAATTATAAATTAAGAATTTTAAAATTAAATTAAGATGCGTAATTATTTTCATAATATGAAATGAATGGACAAAAGACAATGTGGGCTGGGAAAGAACAGAAATATTGAAAAAAAAATCTTAAGTTTATATTTAAAATATATTTATAGCACGGTTACACTATCATTAGAATTAAAAAGTCAAACCCAAAATTCAATCCTCTAAACAAACATACTATAAAGGTGGATCCATCACAAAACCAAAAAAGAAGATGAAAATAATAGATTATATATTGCTATATTATGTAAATTTTAAAACTTATCCAAACAAACTCTAATTTTAATTTATTATATTAGGCTTAAATTTAAGTTTTATACTTCATTAAACTATTATATATTTTAGATACTTCGTTAAAATATCACATAACACACATTTATATATTATATCAAACAAATAGTTCAATTCAAAATTCATTATTCAAAACCAAATTAAAAAAAAAAAAAAAAAAACAAACAAACAAACCATCAACATACTCGAATCAAAAGATTATGATCCATGAACCCCCTAACTAAATTGATCAAAAAAAAAAAAGAAAAACCTAAATACCTAAAATTCCCCTAGAAGAAGTAGAACCAGCAAGAAGTTCACACTTATTTTTGTTGCCCTTCATCGCATCTCTTATCGAAGCACACTTGATGATCCGACACCGGTTGCCGAGCGTCGACAATTTCCCGACCCGATGATTGTCCGAAAACTCGATCCGAATAAACCTGCAATTGATCACTACAAAGAATCTTCGCTCTAAAGACGAGGATCCTCGACCGTACCGTCTCTCCATACCATCCGCCTCGATGAGAAGATCGACTTCCATATTCCGGCTACGGGCACGCACATCATCAACGGTGAAATTCGCCGCCACGTGGAGTGCATTCTGACCGTCCAATACATAGACGGACGATGGGGACGCCACGTGTGCGGTGGAGATGAATCCGTCCCTAAAGTAGAGCTTGGCGTTGCCGTCGTAGGAGATGTTGAAGTCAGCCTTGGCTATGGAGATTTTCGATTCCCAAATTGGGTTCGAATTAGGGTTAGGGTTAGGGTTTGGCGACGAAACGCTGACGTCGAAAGATGAAACAACGGCGTTTACTGGAGGGGGTATGGGGTTGAAGAACGCGTAGATTGACAATGAGATGCAGAAGGCTAGGGTAACCAGAAGAACGCGTCGGACTATTGCATAGTCGGACGAGGTGGGCTTCCGGATGCCATTGCTTTTTGGAAGCATCGGGGCCTCGACGTCGTCGTTTTTCATTGTTGGAACTGCGAAGACGAAGATGAAGAAGAAGATGTTGCGTTGAGTTTGGAGGAAAAAAATTAGGGTTTTTATAAGTGATTTTGGAATTAGGGTTTGTTTAATTGGGATTTGGAAAAGATATTATTGTTGTAGGTTTTGGGTCAATATGTGGAATTCTAAGTGATCTTATTGTCCTGGATAAGTTTTATCTGTAATTGAGGTTGAACGAAAGAAAATTATTGGCTTTTTTTATTTATATTTGAAAAAAATAATAATAATTCCATGCTTTTTTTTTAGACGATATTCTTGGAGTTATCTGAATTTTGTGTAATATATATACATGTTTATTACAAAAGTATTATTATTATTATTATTATTATTATTATTATTATTATTATTTAATTATAATGAGTATTTAAAAGTTAAGTGAAAATCTCTTTGCATCAAAGGTGGTGTTTGTTGTAGGGGTTTGATAGATTTTTTTAGTATTAACTTTTTTTTCTTTAAAAATATCAAATTAAATATTTATTTATTTATATTATACCTGTATTTGGCCCGTGCATTGCATCCACAATTTAAATAGATTATACTATCTCGGTTTCGTTTGCCTCTAAAGTCTTATTTATACGGTAGATATAGGAATTTAGCAAGAGTATTAGTAAATAATAAATAATAAGATTAGTAAAGTAATTATAAAATAAAATTAAAATAATTTATTAGTATAAATAAAATAAAAAAAATATAAGCTATAAAATTTAAAATATAATTAAAGTGTATAATCTTTTTCGGTGACATGATATGTGTATACCATCTTTTATCATTAACTATGTAACATATCTACATTGAAAGTTGTATATGAAATATAATTACGTATCATGTATGTAAACCCGACCGAATCTAACGTAGATAAATCCAAAT